ACGTCTACATTGGCATCCCTTTCCGGAAAAGGGATGCTAATGAGACGAGTCGCAATTGCAAATCCGCGGGGGATTTAAATATCCCCCGCGGCATTTGCATTTACATGGCTGCCGCTTTTTTCTGGCTTGAAAGTAGGAATAAGAGATCCTCCGTAAAAGGGCTTATTTTCCGGAGAATCACATCTAGACTGGCGCTTTTCTCCGGCATATCCCCAAGCCGGAAAAAAGCGGCAGCCATGTAAATGCAAATGCCGCGGGGGATATTTAAATCCCCCGTGGATTTGCAATTGCGACTCGTCTCATTAGCATTCCTTTTCCGGAAAGGGATGCCAATGTAGACACAGCCATTAAGTTTGCAGATGATAGCAAGCTGGGAGGGGTTGCAACTGCTTTGTAGGATAGGGTCATAATTCAAAATGATCTGAACAAACTGGAGAAATGGTCTGAGGTAAATAGGATGAAGTTAAATAAGGACAAATGCAAAGTGCTCCACTTAGGAAGGAACAAACCATTTCACACCTAGGGTATGTCTACACTTGATTCCTCCTTTAAGGGAGGAATACAAATGTAGACATCTGAAATTGCAATGAAGAGGGGATTTAAATATCCCACACTTCATTTGCATAATCGTGGACTGCCCCTTTTCCACAATAGCCCTATTTCGGGACAACAAACTCGGTCCCTGCGGGGTTATTTCAAGAGAAAACCCTTCCCTCGAAATAACCCTTCCTCCTCAAAAAATGAGGTTTAAGGGTTATTTTGAGGGAAGGATTTTTTCTCAAAATAACCCTGTGGGGACAGAGTTTGATGTCCTGAAATAGCACTATTGCGGAAAAGTGGCAGTCCGCGATTATGCAAATGAAGCATGGGATATTTAAATCCACGCTTAATTTGCAATTTCAAATGTCTACATTTGCATTCAAGGGCAAGTGTAGACCTAGCCCTACAGAATGGGAAGTGACTGCTTAGGAAGAAGTACTGCAGAAAGGGATCTAGGGGTCAGAGTGGACCACAAGTTAACCATGAGTCAACAGTGTGACACTGTTGCAAAAGAAGCAAACATGATTCTGGGCTGCATTAACAGGAGTGTTGTGAGAAAGAAGTGAGAAAGACATGAGAAGTCATTCTTCCACTCAATTGGAATACTGTGTCCAGTTCTGGGCACCACATTTCAAGAAAGATGTGGAGAAATTGGAGAAGGTCCAGAAAAGAGCAACAAGAATAAATAAAGGTCTCGAAAACATGAGCTATGAGGGAAGCCTGAATGAATTCAACTTGTTTAGTTTGGAAAGGAGACGACCGAGAGGGGACATGATAGCGGTTTTCAAGTATCTAAAAGGGTGTCACAAGGAGGAGGGAGAAAAATTGTTCTCCTTGGCCTCTGAGACTAGGCCAAGAAGCAATGGGCTTAAACTGCAGCAAGGGAAGTTTAGGTTGGACATTAGGAAAAACTTCCTGTCAGGGTTGTTAGACACTGGAATAATTTGCCTGGGGAGGTTGTGGAATTTCTGTCCCTGGAGATATTTAAGAGCAGGTTAGATAGACATCTATCAGGCATAGTCTAGACCAGGGCTCCTCAACACATAGCCTGCGGCCCACAGCCCATTTGTTTCTGGCCCATGGTGCAGTTTGGGTTTACGCAGGGCTCAACAAGCAGCCCATGAGCGGGATCCTTTGAACATGGCCTCCAATGGGAACACAGTCCACAATGGCAAGTCAATATAATGATCTTCTGTTGATATGCTTTTTAGTAGTTAAATTCCTGGACTTTCATTGCTCATTAAAAGTGCTGCCATATGAGTGGAAAATGGGTAAATATTGCATTTTATTAATATCAGCAGAACTGACTTAAATTGGGCCTGCATGTTGTGTAATCTTGCATTAATCTTTGTATTCATGATCGTCAGTGTGAAAGAAGTTATTTGCATATAAATTTTCATGTATATGCAACTACACTTAAGTTGTGGCCTTCGGCATGTGCTGTTTCACTGTAGCCCCTGGGGCTTCCAAAGATGAGTAGCCCTGGTCTAGATGGTACTTGATCCTGCCATGAGGGCAGGCGACTAAACTCGATGACCTCTTAAGGTCCCTTCCAGTTCTAGTATTCTATGAGTCTATGTGCCTGGACTAGAGCCCGGGGCCCCAGGGCTATTTTCAGTACCATGGCCCCAGCAGCTGCCACACAGCTCCGGTCCCATCTGGCTGGGCCACATGGAGCCCCATGTCCCTACTGAAGCCCCACTGCGGCCCCAGTTTCAGCTCCAGTGGCTGCCATGTGGTCCAGCTGGCAGGGCCGTGTGGCATACAGTTGCAAAAGTTCTCAGGAGATTGGCTGATCGCTGTCCAGACCCAGGGGGCTGTGGATTGTCTCTGTGAATGCTGCCTGGGCAGAGAGAAGGAGAGATTTAACTAGGAACTTCTCTCCCCATTAGCATGGCCCACCCATTATGAGACACACACTCGTGCACTGTTTTACACTCGGTCATAGGGAGGAATATCAAATGGTCCCTCCCCATATGGGCTGTGCAGAGCCTGGGCGGTGGGATCCTCAGGATACTCTGACCAACAGGAGAAATGAGATGACCTCATGTCCCTGAAGACCATCCGGTGGCCTGATGAAGCATGTGTTGGGGGCTCACTCAGAGAAAGCCCTCCCCCATCCCCCATTTCTCCATGGCCTTGGGATCAGAGATCTGCAAGCAGGCACCCTTGGCAGATGAGCAGAGGAGCTGCGTGTGAGACTGTATTTGTCCAAGATGAAGCTAAAACAGGATTTACCTTGAGAACTGGTAGACTCTCCATCACTAAACTATTTTAAGTCCTGGTTTGACAAAGCCCTGGCTGGGATGATTTAATTGGGGCTGGTACTCCTTTGGGAAGGGGGCTGGACTCAATGCTTCCTGAGGTCTCTTCCAGCTTTATGATTCCATGATTGTTCATAATAGGAGTCCTGACACTTTACAAGGAGCTGGTGCCTGATTTGGAGGAGAGGGGGTAACATGCTGCTGCATCTTGCTTTCTCTGCCATTCTGCATTTAGTGCTTCTACTATTTTTATTTTGTTTAATTTGTTTATTCAACCTCATGCTTGTTTTGTTCTACTGAAGGGTTATTTTAGATTATTTTCTTGGTTGAGGAAGAAAAAGCCATCACCTCTACAATATTGAATCACCCACTCTAAACTCATAACTGTCACTCTACATTTGTGACCCAAACCCATTTCATTTCTGAAAAACTCTCAAACAAATGGCCCCCTTCTAAGGGATTTTGGGACTCACTGGCAAGACAAGACAACCTGCCTACCCCAAAAATGGCAAGGAAAATAAAGCCAGAGAGGGTGCAGATCTATATAAAATGTCTGCCTATAATTTCCCTTCAGTGTCTCCAAGTTCCACCTGCTTCACTAGGTTTTAGAGTTCAGTGACATCCAAGTCAGTTTCCTGCTGTGGGGTCCATATGCTTGGTAAGAAGGGAAGTCACAGTCCCTGAGCTCAAAGCCAGTGTGACCTCTCAGAGCTACCGCTCTGCAGTGGAGCAGCCCACAGTGACCAGGGGAAGGGCCGGCCTTAGAGCTGGGCAAACTGGGCCCATGCCTAGGGCACAGTAGCCAGAGGGTGAGGGGCAACTGGGCATGGGTGTTGCTGGGCAAAGGGGATGGAGGGTACTGGGCAGAGGGGCAGTTTGGCAGGACATACTGGAAGTGCAGGGTGGAGGTTGGGGCACAGCTGGGAGGAAAGTACAGGGGTTGGGATGACAGGGGGACCTTGCAGAAGTTAGGGACAAAGGGGCACAATGGAGGGTTAGTGGTAAAGGGTGCACAGGATGGGGGTGCAGGGGCTGGGGAGCCCATGGATGCAGGAATGGTGGGTGGGTGGTTTTCAGGGTGGGTACTTGCAGGGTCCTGCACCTTGTTAACTATCCATTTTTTAGAATTTTTTCTTCCATATCAATTTAACGTATATGTTTTTTGTCAGTAACTGGTGGGGGCCATGGTGGCACACATCTGAACAAGCACACATGACCTCAATATTGGTTAGGGATATTAAATTTAGATGAATTAACTAATTGAACAGTCAACGGGATTTCTATTGGCTATTCAATTAGCCTATAAGGACGCCTCCGCCTCTCAACTGTAGCAAGAGTTCTTGTACATTTCAAAAGCAGAAGCCCCCAGGGTCTGCGGGGCCAGTGAGGAGTCCCCCTCAGATCCCGTGCTCCCTGTGGGGCTTCAGCTTTTGAAATGTACAAAAGACCTAAGGTATGTCTACACTAGCTCGTTAGTTCGAGCTAGGTAGGCAAATGAGGGCAACCGGAGTTGCAAATGAAGCCCAGGATTTAAATATCCCGGACTTCATTTGTCTCTTCTTGGGCACTGCCATTTTTAAATCCCCCTTAGTCTGAACTCCGTGCCCGCAGCTACACGCAGCACGGAGTAGGTAGTTCGAATTAGGATCTCTAATTCGAACTATCGGTACTCCTCGTGGAAGATCCCAATTCAAACTACCTACTCCGTGCTGCGTGTAGCTGCGGGCACGGAGTTCAGACTAAGGGGGATTTAAAAATGGCAGTGCCCAAGAAGAGACAAATGAAGTCCGGGATATTTAAATCCCAGGCTTCATTTGCAACTCCAGTTGCCCTCATTTGCCTACCTAGCTCAAACTAACGAGCTAGTGTAGACATACCCCCACTGAGGCTCTTGTACATTTCAAAAGCAGAACTGAAACAGAAGCGGCATGAGCGGAGACTGCTTCCGTCCTCACTCACATCCTTTCCCCTGTACCTCTACCTCCCCTGCCTGCCGCGGAGATGGTGCTGGGGGGAAACAGCTTTTAAGCTGGCTTCCCACAGCACCAATTTCTGCTCCTCCTCCCTTGCTGCCTCTCTAGTAGAGGCAGCAAGAGGGGGGAAGCGACTAGTTGCATCACTAGTCAACTATCTGATAAGCTTCTGTTTATTGGATAATTGACTAGTCTCTTACATCCCTAATACTGGTGCACAAAAGAAATCTCACTCCACTCACCGATGGGAAATCTTAGAGGGAACACTCACTCACTCAGGCATGGAAGAACACAGACAGACAGACAGCAGTGCCTCCAGCAGGGGAACAGGACACACGCACACGCATAGCAGGACAGACACACACATGCACTGGTCCCACAAAATGCACCTGAGCCAATATAAGAGTAACAGGGTCCCAGGCATACAGCAGCACAGCTGGGCTGCCCACAGAGTTCCTCCTCGCCCCCTCCTAGCAGCATGGTGCCCTCTGCTGAAACACCCGCCCTGTTCCACGCACCAAATGGAGACCACCTCACTGAGTCTCTGGGCCAAGGGCAGGCGAGACTCATCCACACAGAAATATCCTGATGTCCCATTGGCACCTGCAAGCTCCACATCCAGCTCTGAGTGCCAGAGAGACCTGATGAGGAGACAGTGTCAGTCCCGTGCAGCCAGCCCCCACAGAGAACTGCCCCCACATAGTGTCCCTCAATCCCACCCTGCAGCCCCAGCTAACCCAGCCCTTGCCTCCCCACCCTGCCAGTGCCCCTCATCCCTTGCCAGCCCAGCCCTATTCCCCCTGCTCCATCAGTGCTCCTCACTCTCACCCCTGCAAGCCCAGCCTTGGCCCCTCCCGTTCTGCCAGGGCCCCTCACTCCCACCCCACAGCCCCTACCAGTCAAGCTCTACTCCCCCAGCTTTGCCAGTGCCCCTCACTCCCACCCCGCAGCTGCTGCCAGCGCAGGCTGGTACCTGACGAAGCCCATCTCTTCACAGCTCAGCGCAGCCACCAGGGCGTTGGAGGGGGTGGAGCAGATGAGGCGCCATTTTCCCTCACTCTCGTCATACAATGTGACCCGGAGGTCACCCGAACTAACCTGGACTGTGGCATGGGAGGAGGCAACTCTCCACCCCCTGCCACTAGTGCCCCGGGTCAGCCTATGTCCATGTCTCCTGCCAGTGGTCACTCTCAGAACTACAGCAGCTATCCCAGGGCTCCCAGCACCAAACAGGGGTCTGGGCTGTTCCCAGAGCAGCCAGCTCCCTGCCAACACCTGCAGAGTGGCAGGGGATCCAGGGAATGAGGGCTCTCCACTGGAACCGTGGACTCCTGGGTTCTATTCCTGTCTCTCAGGGGTGGGGGTTGAAAAGAGGGATTTGGGTCCAGTTCTGGTATGCATTGGGATAGGGGGGAAGACCGTCAAGTCCTCATCATGAAGGGGCCTAAGTTCCCAGTCATATGGACCTGAGCTGTGGGCTACCCCACTTACCACCATACAGCCCTTCACTGTTGCTCCCCAGCACAGCTGTCACTGCAAGAGAGAAGAGAACCTTAGCCTACATGCAGAGCACATCATGCCCAGCAGGGGGCAGCAGGATGGGGAGCTTCAGGTGCACTCATGGATTGGAGACTGGGAGGAATGGGGAGATGGCATCAGGGAATGTTAGCAGAGGGGCTGCAGGTTAGGAGTGAGGGGCACTGGACAGCTGGGTGTAGGGAGCCCAGGGTTGGGACAGCAGGGGTTTAGAGGTCCTAAGGGACCAGGCTCTTACCTATGGCCCACACGCTGGCTCCGATGCCGGCTAAAAGCAGGAAGCCACCAGTCACAACAGCCACACCCATGGGCAGCGACCAGCATGGTACCGTAGGGCCCCCTGAAACAGGAGGGGGGTTAATGGGGTTGGGAACAACCCCTTTTCCTGGTCCTTAGCACAGGCTGTTGCATTGAGCCCCCTAACTGGTCAGGACCCTCATCTCAGCACATGGCTCTGGGGCTGACCCCAGTATCCTGCAGCCTCAGCCTGGGAACCTGCCTGCCTGTGGCCCCCTGCCTCCCCCTCACCCATTCAGCCAGCTCCAGGAGTGCTGTGGTGACAGAGGGACGGAGAGAGGGGAGGGGAGACAGGCAGATGAAACAGGGGCCTGTAGACTAGAGGGAAGCTCCAAGTACCTATCCCTGTAGCCAGTGGAACACTCCCTTCCCCCCTCCAAACACACACTAGAACCCTGGTGTCCTAACTCCTAGGCCCTTCTCCTCTCCCAGAGCTGGTCACCAGAACCTAGGAGTCCTTTCTCTCTGCTCTCCCCACAAACCCCCCCCACCACCACCACCACCACCTACACAGAGCCAGGCACAGAACCCTGCAGTCGTTGTTCCCAGCGCCTCCTGCTCTACCCACTAAAACCACCCCACCACCATCCCCACCTGCCCAGTGCCTGGCACAGAATTCAGGAGTCCTGGCTCCCAACCCTGTGGTGAAGAGTTAATGTGAATTCTGTATACTGCAGACTGAGCATAGCAGAGTGGGGGTTGGTCCAGAGAGACTTTGCCCTTAGGCCGGGTGCAGTGACCTACACGGACACAACGCCAGCAAGTGCCTGAAGGGACTTTTCCCATCATTGGATTCCCCACCCCCACCCTCCATCCCCTGGGCACAGCATGGTCACAGGGAGAGACCCAGTAGGACAGTGCCACTGACAGGCACAGCCTGCCCCGCAGCCCAGCAAATGGACTCTTAGAGACTGAGGGTATGTCTACACTACAAAGTTAGTTCGAACTAATGGATGTTAGTTCGAACTAACTTTAATAGGCGCTACACTAGCGCTCTGCTAGTTCGAATTTAATTCGAAATAGCGGAGTGCTTAGTTCGAACTAGGTAAACCTCATTTTACGAGGATTAAGCCTAGTTCGAACTAGCTAGTTTGAATTAAGGCCTGTGTAGACCCTTAATTCGAACTAGTGGGAGGCTAGCCCTCCCCAGGTTTCCCTGGTGGCCACTCTGGCCAACACCAGGGAAATTC